CGGGAAGGGGCCCGGCGCGGAGCGGGGCGCGTTAAACAGCGGGTCGCTTTAAGACCGGGGCGGAAAGCGCGGTTCTGGAGAGGGCTGGAAGGAGGAAGGGGAGGAGAGTGAGGAAGACGAAGCAAGGGAGGTTGGCAGAGAGAGAAGGCCTCGGGAAAACCCGCAGGAAGCAGGAAAACCAACGCCACTCAGCTGTTTTAGTGGCGAGACCGCACTGACCCGGTTGGTAGCATGAAGGAGCTGCGGAGATCGCTTTCCTTGGTAGTGAGTTGTACGTGTTGCTGTTCGCCTGAAAGAGCTTGATCTTTTTCACCTGTAGTTTGGAGTAGCTGTGTTTAGAAAAGAAAAGCATACCTACTGTTCTTCCTGGAGAAGATATGAAAAGCTTTATGTTTACTCGATGAAGAAACACGTGATTCTAAAGCCATGTGGTTACTAATTTGTATTGTATTTGTATGCCCATGTTAAATGCTGCTACGCTTACTTTTTTCTTTTTTTTTTCCTTCACTATGACCTGAGCTGACAGGAGGAAGTGGTTATAGCGTGCTTTATACAGCCTGGTGTACATCACCATACGTGGTACTTGTATCTGGTTCATGTCAACGGATATGCCAGGCTTATACGCTTTTGCCACTTTTCTTTTGGATGCCACTGATGGTCTTCAAGGAGCTTTATTTTGTTCTCATATGTCAGTGTCTGACTTGGGGGGAGGGGGGAGCAGGAGGGAGATGTGGAAGAAAGCTTTCAGCCTTTCAGTAGTCTGTGGAAATATGCTACAACTTAAAATCTAAACTGCCAGAAACTGAAAAGGCAAAGACTGTAAAAACAGCCACCTTTGCTAGGGGGGAACGAATGGAAGAGGTGTGTTAGTAAAACACCTTCACCTCAGAAGGGACTTTTAATACTGGTTGTAATTGTTCAGATTGGGATTAGTTTGAATCACAGTCACGTTACTTAAACGCAGTTTGTTTAGCCGTTTGTTTTAGTGGTGTATGCAGTGTCAGGAAATGCTAATAATACTACGTTTTTAACTTAACTTTTCATTACAGAAAGCCTAAAACCAAGAGAGCAAAAAGGTTTCTTGAGAAGAGAGAACCCAAACTCACAGAAAATACGAAAAATGCTATGCTTATAAAAGGAGGAAATGCAAACTTAACGGTGACTGAAGTGCTTAAAGACATCGTAAGTTTGTTGGGTATATGTGAGCAGCCTTTAGTTATAACCTGTTGCACTACACCGAGGGTACTTTCCCTTCTTTCTGTCCTACAGTTTACCTGTTGTCTGCTGCAAGATCAATATTTTCATACTCTCCCTACCCACCAAATTTCAAATTGTGACTGGTGCTCTAAAAGGCATCATTACCTACCTGTGGATGGTGATTTTTTTTTTTTTCCTCTTTCCTCTTTGCCAAAAGTTTTGAGCTTATTCCCTTCATTATTATTTTTTTCTATGGTTGTCCAGTATATAAGGTAAAGTGTTTCCAGCCTATTTGAAAACAGGATGTACAGAATTGGGACTGGATCACACAGCTGAAATAATATCCCAGCATCCTGTAAACTGTTTCTGTGGGCTTATGTAGAACTTGCAGCGTCTCCCAAATCTTAGGCTTGCCAATCCACTGTCTACATCCTATCTCCGTACCTGAAAATTCTGCAGCTGTTCCTGCCCCATTTTCTCTCCTTGCTTTGTTATTTTCTTCCTATCCTATGCTGACTGAAAATCAGGTTGTTATTCACTCCCTGCTTTTACTTAAGTCCCTAGAAGTAGAGGGATTCTATTACGTGGCTCGGATTTTAGTTATTTTTTAGTTACTTAATGACAGAATCACAGAACGGTTGAGGTTGGAGGGGAACTCTGGAGATCATTTCGTCCAACTCCCCTGGCTCCAGCAGGGTCACCTGGAGCTCGTTGCCCAGGACTGTGTCCAGACAGCTTTTGAATATCTCCAGGGAAGGAGACTCCCTCCACCACCTCTCTGGGCAACCTGTTCCAGGGCTCTGTCACCCTCACAGGAAAGAAGTTTTTTTTCTCATGTTCAGAAAGAGCTTCCTATGTGTCAGTTTTTTGCCCGTTGCCTCTCGTCCTGTCGCTGGGCACCACGGAGAAGAGCCTGACTCCATCCTGTTTACGCCCTCCCTTCAGATGTTTGTTGTCCACCAGGAGTCCCAGGTCCTTCTCCGCAGAGCTGCTTTCCAGCAGGGCGGCCCCCAGCCTGTCCTGGTGCGTGGGGTTATTCCTCCCCAGGGGCAGGACACCGCACTTGCCTTTGTTGAACTTCACGAGGCTCCCCTCTGCCCGTCTCTCCAGCCTGTCGAGGTCCCTCTGAATGGTGCACAGCCTTCTGATGTGTTATCAGCCACTCCTGCCAGTTTTGTATCCCCAGCAAACTTGCTGAGGAAGCACTCTGTCCCATCATTCAGGTCACTGATGAATAAGTTAAACAATACTGGACCCCTATGGGACACTGCTAGCTACAGGCCTCCAACTAGACTCTGCCATTGATCAGAACCCTTTTAGCTCTGCCACTCAGCCAGTAGTTCTTAGTTTCTAGAAATAAATCCTTTTGCAACTAATTGAGAAGCAAGATTAGTGTTGTCATCTTGGAGGGTTTTATTGTGAGCAGGTCTTTTGAGCTGACTTCTTTTCTAGTCTAGATTGCATGAACAATTATTCTGTTTAAAGTGATCCTGTAAGTTACAGGGTTTTAGAAAAAGCAGTACTGTACGTTTAGATGTGTGGGAGATAATACATGTTTTACTTTGGTTGTATATTTTGCAGTATGCTGTGAAGAAACCTTTTGCTGTACTGTATAAAAAGTAAGTGGTCCCATTTTGACATCTTTGAGTCTTCTGACAATTGACATTCGGTAATTTCCAAGCTGGATTAGAGATGCAAGCTAGCACCGTTGAAACATGGAAAGGGTTGCAGAAGGTGACTGAGATTCGTCCTAAATTTCAGTGGATAGGAAACAAGCTGCAAGTGATCAGTGTTGACATTGAGCCCAGTTCTGCGTCAAGTGCTACAGAGCAGAATTTGGCAAACTTGAACAGTCAGCTTCCCTGATTCTGATCTGTGCAAACAGCTAGTGAGATTCTGTGTCAACTAAGTAGGGTGGAGTTATTCTTCCCAATTTTTATAAACTCAAATTACAGATTATAGTGATAGCTAAGTCTTGCTGAAAGTGGGAACGCGGTAAGCACAGGCATTAGTTATAATATCTAATTTAAATGTGTTTTGGATGAACAAGCAAAGACAGTTGTTCCTAACGTGTCACTAACAGTTATTTTGGAAGTCAGGCACCAGGAGACAGGAAATCTGAAGGAAAGCACTTAAAATTGGCAAAGGCAACACTAAGGAAAACCTGGCAGAATTAATATGGATTACAATTTGAACTAAAACTAAACTTCTAATGCTGGAGTTTCCAGTAGAATGCAGAATGTTGTTATTAGAGAACTGGAAGTCACAAGAGAAGAAAAAGTGTTCTTATCTGGGTTTTTGTTCCTTCTTTTTTTTCCCCTTTCAGGAAAAATATTACCAGACCTTTTGAGGATCAGACATCGTTGGTAAGTATAAGCCACGTGGTCTCTTATGAGATTTTGCAGCTATGAAGTCATGAAGGACTTGATTAGAGGATAATTTTTTCATTATTCTGTGAGGAGTTAGCTGAGAAATAAAGTTTATAGGAAATCTGGATGAGCTGAAGGTAGATGTCAGTAGGCTTTTTTTTTTTTTTTCTAGTGACTGCAGGACAGAATCCTCATGTTGTTGTGGCTTTGTCCTTACCTTAAGTGCATGTTTCTGTAAACTGACAGATTAGGATTGTGAAAGACTGTTACAAGTAACAGTGCTTGATATGAAAGGAAGAATAAAGGATTTTATTTAGGTTTTCTAACAGTCAGTCCTTTAAAGTGCCATAGCGTATGAACAGCTCCTTTTCAGTTTGGTGAATTCATAGGTTAAAGTAGTTAAATGGAAGAGTCATTGCTTTTTGTGAATAGGTGTATTTGAATAGAGGAAGAAAAGCACGGCAGAGTACCACGTGTGAACGCATGCATCGGCAGTGCAAGTACAAGATCGTAGCGATGAGCCTGTTCCAGCATTCAGATAAGAACTGTCAGAGAAATGAGCAATTTCAGTTAAATGCGTATGTTTGGCCTGCAGTGAAGTTGGAAAAGTGGCTCTTCAGAGGCCTGGAGGGTTTTGCTTCTGCAAATCCCTTTAGTGATATGCCTCTGTCTGAATTTGATCTTGATCCAGTGCTTTAAGGTCAAGTTTATTTATGAGCTGGAAGGCAAAAAATAGAGGGGCTGATCTCAAGATTACAACATCTCAGTTTAGTCAAAGCGTTATTTTAGCTAGCGGAATAGGGTCTTTAAGTCATAAATGTAGTATACGTATTTCCTTCAGCAAAACAAGAGAAAGGAGGTGGTGATGTGCAGTTGTGATTTTACAACAAAGAAAAGTGAATTATCCCAGAATAAGCTGTTGGGTTTCCACTGGTCATGATTTGGTAGCGTTAGCTGTGTGCCACTGCTGACTTGCACATGGAAAATAAGAGTCGGATTTCCAAAGTGCGAAGCAGTTGCTGAAATAACTTACTGAAAAGGCACACTGAAGTTGGGCATTTTGGGGTATTGTGATAGGGTGTTATGAATCTGTGTATGCAAAGAAAAAAATCACACACTAAGCAAAAATGCACTTTCCTGTCTTAAATGTATTGTGGAAAACAGAGAGAAAACATATCTAAAAAATTCTCTGTAAATAAGAAGGAAGAGGAAGGGAGAGATAGCTAATGATCCTTAATGATACAGCTTTTCTTAAAAAGTGGAGGCAGCCGACAGCGGGTGCCAAAAAATTGATGGAGTTATATTGGTCAGTGGAGTCAAAGCATTTTTAATGAGCTGGGAACAAAAAAGAAGCATAGGTGCACTGATATATAAGGATGCTTAATCTGCATCAAATATTGATGCTGAGGTGTTGCAGCGTGTGTTTCTCTTCTGTTCTCAGCATGAAGCATGGTAATGTAACCATCCCATAGAACATTGTATTGGAATGGAAAATTGCTGCGGGCAGCAAGGCACGATGTGCAGTGTTATCCGGTAAAACTAAACCCCTTACAATCACATGGCTGAATGACTTATTCTCATAGTCCTATAGGAACCAGTTGATTGTCAGATGACCACTGATGTGAACTTTTGATAATTTCTGGAAAAACATGGCACCTAAAGCTATTCTGGTATTTTTCAAGGGGCCCTACAGGGAACTTGAATTGTTTTTTGGAAATGAGAGTTAAAGGCAAAGCAATGGGGTAGATCATTCAGAACTGTGTCAAAAAATAGAGACTAGAAATGCATGGAAAGTTAAATCAATTTTCTTTTCTTTTTTCTTGGTTACAGTCATGTTTAAAGGAGGCAGTACTGCAGCGTATGTGATGTTGCAGTGTATGTGGGATACAATTGAGGCATTTGAGTTTGTTGCAACCTTTTAATTAAATATCATGCAGCTGTTACAGAATTTACAGATACCAAAGTGCAGTGATTATCAGAGCTGTATGAGCAAGTGTTACCGTGGGACCCCTGGGTCTGTTCTTGATCTGTCCAGAGTCAGTATTTTTCAGTGACCCAGTGGCAGAACTTGGTGATAAACGGTGATTTGTACAAGCAGTTCATCCAGCCTGGGATTGCTCCCAGTGATAAAATGTTTCTTGACGTCCCAAAAGGGAAGAGCTGCAGACTAGACAAATTGTTCTCAAGAACAATAGCCTCTCTCAGCTGCTGCTGTTCCCAGGGGCCGGGGGCGGGAGGAGATACTGTGACTTTTTTTTTCCTGCTTCACAGCTGCGAAGTGCAGGTACAGAAACTCTGGTACTTCTGGGAAGTACTGGATAAATAGTGTGTGTACAGATGTACCTAGGAACCACTGTTAGTGTACAGAAGGAGGACTGTCTTGAGAAGTAGCAGTGCCTATAAAGACTTTGAAGTTGGACATTCTCAGAAAGAGTTGCTGTAACATTGGCTCTTGATGCCGCGCTCTAACACGTTCTCCATCTGCACTTCGGAGGGAAAGATCCTCTGTGATAGTCACCAGTAGCTTGATTTTTCAGGACCATCTTAGTCTTAATTGAGTAACAAATTGACATGCCCTAGTGAGAGAATGTTAGAGATTTGCAGATGTACCTAGGCTTCCCTTTGAAGGAATTAACTGGTTGTTAAGAAGCTGTTAGGCAAGGCTATAATACCGCATAAAGCTTAGCGAAGTGACTCAAATGAGACATTACAATACTTACTGCCCTTCTGGTAAGGAGAAGTGATTGGAGGTGGCTTATGTAAAAAGGAATAATGAGGAATTATGAAAAAGGGTGTTACAGACAAAATGGCAAGAAAAAAATTGCCTAGCTTGGTCTTATAAGAGCAGTAGGAAATAAAAAAGGAAAGGAATTATTATTTGAAACTTGGATCCAGCAGTCAATTTTAGTATATGTGGACTTTTCTGGTAAGCGCAGTTGCTCCTCTTCTCAAGAGCTCCTAAACTCACATGTTTGTCACATATACCTTTGCCAAACATTTTAAATGCTTGCAAACTTTAAATGCTTCCAGCTCATGAATTTTTTTTCCTTTCCTCATTGATAGGAATTTTTTTCGAAGAAATCGGATTGTTCATTGTTTCTGTTTGGCTCTCATAACAAGAAGCGACCTAATAACTTGATAATAGGTAACTTGTCTCACTTGAGTTTTTAATTGGATGAAAGGTCTAGCTTTCAGTACGTATTTAAATGGCTGAATTTTCTTTTTTCTTCACAGGTCGCATGTTTGATTATCATGTCTTAGATATGATTGAGCTAGGCATTGAGAAGTTTGTGTCTTTAAAAGACGTCAAGGTAAGGGAAGGAGCACAAGCATTTCAGTGACATCTGCTGGCGGATATTTTGGTGCATTGGCTTTTTTTGGTGCTTTGAAGGAATAACGTGGTCTTTGAAAAATGTTTCTTGTAGTATCTGAGGATTATTAGATTTGTGTGCCTTAATGTTATTTTTGTATTTTTTGTTTAATTATTGTTGTTGTTTGAAGCAAGTTTGCTGTATGCTTACAAATTCTTTCTTCACGAATTTTTGTTCTAGACTTGGTTTATTCCTAGCATTTTCATTTTTAATTAACGCATTGTATTTGTGAAATTCCTCAGTCAGATTCTGCCCAAAAAGCCAGAAGGTGATGCAGCTACCAAAAGAGGTACCTCTGTGTAGCCACGTCCTGACTAAAAAGCTTGTGCGGTTATGCAACAAAATGTTACGGAGAATGGATTTGGTAGAAAACAACCCAGTGGTAGGGGGAGAGGTTACTTTCCAGCTGGATCAGCGCTCTCCGCTTCATGTAAATGTATGTGCTGGTTCAAAGATGGATTAACACGATGACAGGATTGTTTCTTTCAGCAAGGAGTGCTTGTGCCGGGGTAAAGTGTTTCCAAATTGTAACCAGCAAGAGTCACTCTAAGGGTAATTTATCAAGTTGTGAGGAGATTTTGAAACTTTCTGTAGCCTGCAGTAGTACACAAATGCCAGTTTTCAGGGAATTATACTTGATTCAGACTGAGGGCTAACATAATGATTATTTAAACCTAGAGAAAAATCCCGTTATTATGGCCCTGTTATGTTTTAGTTTAGCCAAAATAACCCTATTTCATGTGCCCATATTTTGTACCAAGCAGTACAAAAATAATGCTTATGGTCCTCATTTTCTCCACAGCCTGTAGATTGAAGGGACAGTCTAGGGGGATAGTGAAGAAATTACCTTTTTTGAAGGTGAATCTTCCCCTTGAAGTCAGATTGTAGTATGTATCTTAATTAATTCTGTTTGTAGCATAGAAATTATAGCAAAGTAATTGTATTCGTTGGTACCAAAATTAGAATGAGGTGATTGGCTAACCTATCCTCTTTGCCTTCTCCATATACTCTTCGGTCAGAAATGCAGCAGACTTGTTTGCCTCCTACTGTAGTTTCCTTGTTAGCAGTTGCAGTCAAATTCACTTTTGTTTTCACTCCAAGGTGTTATTTTCAATATTTTACAGAAGAGAATCTCTTTCTTAATCAGCCCAAAGAGTAAAACAATTCACCTGCTTAAAAACAAAGAAAGTCCTTCCAAATACATACAATGTTGTTCAATTTAAAAAAAAAAAAAAGTCCGTGTCTGTCCATATTGGTCATAGGTCACAACAATTCTGCATTGAATGTTGAACGGATAGTCAGCCGTTAAGTCAATAATATGCTTCCTAATGTGGTCTGAATTCTTGTTTTGTTTTAAAATTCTTATTCCGTAGAACAGTAAATGCCCTGAAGGAACAAAACCTATGTTGATATTTGCTGGTGACATATTTGATTTAAATGAAGAATACAGAAGACTGAAAAGCCTTCTTATTGGTCAGTATTTTGATTAATTGAGCAGTGGGATTGCATAAAGCTGTAGCCATAGGATCTGTTGGGAAATGTTGGTTTGTCAGTAAATGTTTGCCCGTGTTCAGTACTGAAAGAAAACATAGAAGAAGTGGCATTTGTAACTTTGATGTCATGTGACATGAAATTTAACTAATCATCATGACTGATACTTAGAAGAATAAGAGGAAAAAGGACTGGCCTAAAAGAGACTGAAGGTGAAACTGTTGTACTCACTGAAATTCCTCAGCTTGGTTGTGGGGACGATTCTGACATTTTCAGAAATTACTTTGTACTTATAATGGGTCATCAATTTTCTAACCAAATACTATTTTTGCAGTATCTAGTTTTGAATTAGGTGGGTTAAGTTAAGAAAATGAAATTTTTTGCTTTCAAAAAAAAAAAAAGTCAGATCAGTATAATTGAGCCTGTGTTTTCATAATGAAAGCATTTTCTGTTAGAAATTTGACCATCTCTAACAAACGTGCCGTTGATTTGAGTATTTGGAACGAGCACGCGCAATAAAAATTAGCTGTACGATAAGTGTGTCAAAACAGCTTCAAAGCAGGCTTGGAGCCGTGTAAGCGAAATGACATAAAGCTTTTTCATTTCTCAAGGAAGATAAGGCATGTTGTGGGGTTTATCACTGAATTCTGGGGAACTAAGAAAAGATTATAGTTTTTTTACGATAACTCTGGGGGACTGAGAGGTCGTATGATGCAGTATCTCCTGACGCTTGCGAAAACATGTCTTGCTCAGTAAAACTAGATTTAGAAGTTGGATGGTGGTTTTTTGCTTTTTAATAGGTTTCCTAAAAGTAGATTTTTTTTTTTAAACTCTCATAAAACAGTGGAACTGCACAATAAGAGTAGGCTTTTTTCTTCAGCCCCACTCTGGGGGTGCACCGATTCAGGATCTTACAGCTTTGTTAGATCTCCCTTTCATAGAAAATAAACATTGGTGGGGCTCTCCTTTCTAGGCACACAGAGGGAGATTGCTGTTGAGAAACAGGCTTTAGAAATGAGATTTTCCTCACTTTTACAATTCCCTAGAGCAACTTGATTCATCTGGAATGAGACTGAAAAGGGAGAAGGAGGGGAGAAATTTTGCATCCTTTCAATACATCTCACTAGTTCTTAGTATAGCTAAAAGGCTACTAACTGTGCTTGTAGACCTTTGGAGGTGGGTGAATATCGAATGTGAAGATATGTGAGTTTTAATGCTGCGTATTTGTGTCAATGTAAATGAATTATTTTCTGAAGCAGATCCTGTTAAGATGTCCACACGCTTTTGGTGATTGGCATCCAAATATGCTCACGCAATTGAGGTTACCTCAAAACAGCTTGATACCTTAAATGGAGGACAGTTGCATCGTTAGATGGTTGCCAAATGACTAATTGGTCTTTCCTGCTCTGTTTCTTTTGTTGTTCATCTGTCCTCTCTCCTCCTATTAATTTGCCTTTAATGAATGACTGCAGTCAAATGTACTCAAATCAACATCCAGTTTTTCTTGTTGGATGTACTCCAAGTGCTCCAGGTCTTAATGTTCTGTTGATTTCTATGAAATACCTAGATGGAAAACAATAGACAAAGGAAAAGGTTAAGGAGTGCAAAGGCTTGAAGATACCAGCAACCAATTAAAATAATTCAGGTAATAATTTGACCTGCTTCAAAATTGCTCTTAATTGATAGGGAAGAATTGATTCTTTCTCTTCCTGCAAAAAGACAGGGCTTTTAAGCTGCCACTCTATTGCTAAGAAAACTAGAAAAATGCCCTTCTAACACCAGTAAATACTTTGTTCTGTAGCAGTACTGTTGAGGTCCCAGAGGGAACAGGAGATACCTAACAGCTTCTTTTTGCGACAGCAGCCTTGCCTTGAGGGTACTGCTGAACAACTAAGCTTTCGTTTGCTTTTGTACTATCAAAAGGGTTTATGCGTGTTTGGAGTATCGCCTCACAGCAGTTTCTTGGTAGAATTAAAGGCAAGAGATGGAGGACAAGAATGAATAAACATCTTCATGGCAGTCAAACCCTGTAGTCCACTTCAACAACGTGTTGCGCCTCGCAATTTAGGAGACATACATGGCAGCTGCATTTTTATTTAGAGACCTGAAAGACATCCCATTCTTTCTCTTCATTTGGTTTTCATTGCCTAACGAGGTGGTAATCTAGGAATCCATTTATGTTATATGTCCTTTAAATACAGCTCGTGAAATTCTCATAACTTCTTGTGCTTGTATTTATAACATGTTTCATCTCTTGCAAAGCTGTCTGCTTGCTAGTTGTTTTATTGGGTCGCACTTTCATCTTAAAAATGACCAGATGCTGCCTGGCTTTCTTACATGCATCCTTAAAGCCAATGTTTTAAAAAGTCTGTACAATTTTTATACTGAGCATCAGATTGTTCTTCATCTTGCCTTCCTTACACAGATTTTTTGCGTGTCTCAAAGATTTGTGGGTTCTTTCTGGCCCTGAAGGGGGATGGTTGGGAAAGAAGTCTAGAACAGAGTTTGAGCTCCTTTAGTGGTAACTGTAGCTTCACAGGCTATCGTGTCACCAGCCTTTGCATATGAATGAATGCAAAAAGAAGTGTATAAGCTCATGTTCCAAAATAATTTAGGAATTCGGTCTGGAAATAGAAAGGCTTTCTGAAGCTCTCTGCGGGAAAAATTAAAAGTCCTGGTAACACGTTAAGCGCTAAGGACGGAAAGAACAGGGGACGGAAAGAAGGGAGAAAACAAGGTCTCTAGTCCAACCAAAGCAGGAGTTGTAAATTAAGAGTACATTAAAAAAATATAGGCTCTGTGGGTGTACTGAAGTGGAAGGTTTCTGCAGCTGTTGAACGTTGCCAGGAAACAGAAATTCCTGACCATCTGCATTTGTCTGGAAGAGATCATCCTGTGGGTAAAACCGTGTATGATGCCACAGGAAAATGTGGGGGGGAAAAAAAGGGAGAGGTTGCCAGTAAAACCACTTTAAATGAAAGCTTGTGTACCTGCATAGAACCTAGTCAAAGGGAAAATTTATGCAAAAGGTGAACCGAATATTTTATTTGTGATTTTCTTTTTTTTTTTTTTTTTTCTGTAACTACAAACTCAGCCCAGGAGGTGAGGAAGAATGAGAGTATTTAATTCATCCAGGCAATTTTCTGGCTAGACTCCAGCTGATACCTGCCAGTAAGACTTTGTTTTTGGATGTCATTCCAGTGCTGATACCCTTTTAAAAAAGGTAGCAGAGGAAAAGACCACTAGCTGAGGAGTCTGCAAATGAGACAAGACGGAAGAGAGTGATGTGTTTTACATGTTAGCAGTTCTCCAATGTTTCAGCATTGCCCTGTCATGTTTATTAGCACACCTTGTTCCCTCAGTCAAGGTCACATTCTTTCTCCACCCTCTGCATATGTTGGACAGATTGCTGTGCTTATTGCAAGCTCTCTGATTGCACAGTATTTTTCACAGCCTGATATAAGAACCTGACTAGAGACGATTCATGTTGTATTTAACCCAGAGTAGTCTCTCTGCAGACTAAGCAAGTATTTTAAGCTTCTATTTTTCTAGACATGTATTGTTCATTAAATAGAGAAAATACTAATTTCATTCATGACAAATACTGCCTTACGCAAAGAACAAAAATGCTTGCTTTGGCCACAAGGGGAGATCTGAAAGAAAGGCTATACCAAAACTGATTTTCTTCCACGTCCATAGGAGAAAATATAAATGAGACCAGGAGTAGTCAGGATAAAGTTAAATGGTATATGTTTTTATTTTATATAATGTTTATTGTGTACTGGTTTTGATAATTTCTTTGTGCTCTTCCAAATCTGGCTCTGATTAAGAATCTTAGGTATGAGTTTATTGAATGCTGTCTTAAAATAGCTATCTGAACTATCAGTTTTTCTGTACTAATGACCTGTCTTTAGCTAAGCACGACTTGGCCTAAACACTAAATAAGATGCATTTAATTTTTCTGACTTTGGAGCTGAAGATTTAGAAGAATTGGCAATGCCATTATCCCAATTAGTTTAATGAAACTAAGTTAGTACTCTGAAAGTATATTTGCTCTTGGTTTAAGGTAGCATTTGTATTGCCACCAAGTTATCTCTGGGAAGTCTTGTTCCTATCAGGATTTCTACGTTTGTTTGGTTTCACCCTAAAGGAATTTGTTTGAACTCAGTAAGACAACTGACACCTGTAATGTTAAGGTTGTCTCCTGTGTTTTGGCAGGGCTGCCTGCAGTTTTAAGTAGTGACAATAGTATGACGTTCCTATTAAACATATGGAATGGCTCTAGAAAAGCTGAGTCTATTTATAGCCTTGCTTCATTAGATGCAATAGAAAATATCTATCCAGGTGAGGAGTTCACATCACCACGTTATTAAAATCCATTATTAAAATAAACTTAATTTGTTACAGGCATCTGTTGGCTTGGTTTTCAGTCAAGACACTTGGTATTTATTTTATTTAAATATTCTCTCAGATTTCTTCAGAGGTCCTAATGTGCCCAGTATTCGACTAGCTGGTTTAGAATATGTTCTGCATTTCACAGCTGTAGATGGGAAAATTTACATGCGAAGCTATAAGTGAGTATATGTTTTACCTATTTGTTTGCTTTTTTGGTGCACTTCTCAGCTTTTCCCCCAAATTTAGCCTGTGGCTGTGTCATTGAACAGCCTTAAGCAATAGTTTGCTGCATTTAAAACAGGCAGTGTTTACAGGTTTTTGAGCACAACACAGAATAACTTATATAGCAGAGGGGAAACACTTTAAGTCCTAAATCTACTGCCTCCTTCCTTGTCGAACTCCCCTTCTAGCTGGGAGGACTACTCTTGCGCGTATTTGGATTAGTAAGGCATTATGAATTAGAGTTGGTGAATTCTGGGTACTGTATTACGCTTCGTAAACTTAGTCTGTACCCAGGCTGATTTCTAGGTCACTCCTCACTTAGCCGTTTGTTAACGAAAAACAGGTAATGGGCTGTAGCCAGAGGTACAAATGGAAAAACAGGAAAAGAGAGGACAAAGTAATATCTCTGATCACCAGTCAGTGGTGTTCACCATAATGGCTCACAGCTTTTCCTTAGCAGGCTGTGAGCATAGCTTGTGTTGCATGCTACTTTATAATTTCTCTTATAATAAAACGACTTTTACCTAATACAGCCTCATACTGAAAAAGAAACTAAAAAAGCCACCCTCTGGGTTAGGGCTCTGGATATTTTGCTATAAGTTATAACATACAGAGGGCCATTCTGAATTTGCGGAGTGATGTACCTTTTAGAGTATTGGAGTTGAGTTTCAACAGTAGTATTGATAGTAGTGGTCTTATTAAAAAAGTGACCTTATCCAGGTTGGATTTTGGGTGCATTCAAATTGTGATGGAATAGATTTAATTTTCAGTAATCACCAGTAGCACTCGTTTTTGATTGTCTTCTCAACTACAGGATTGAACTCGCTCTTTAGGAAGACAAGTATAGATTTATCACAGAGGGTAATGTTGATTTTTTTTTTTTTTTGGTTGCTTTTCTCTTCCAGAGTGCTTCTGAAGAAATCTGGCTGTAAAATACCAAGGATTGAACTGGAAGAGATGGGACCTTCATTAGATCTGGTTATGAGGAGAACGCACTTAGCTTCAGATGACCTTTATAAGCTGTCTTTAAAACAACCAAAAGGCCTGAAGGTAGGTACCTTAGGTTGTATATTACATCACAGATCTGTAAAAAGATCAAAAGCTGAAATATTAGTTATTGCATCATAACCAACCAAAGCTTACTTCTGTATAGGCCAGCTGATATTTCTAGAGCCGCATCACACTCGTGGTGATCTGCTGGCATAAAAACACTCCTCTGAACGCGTATAAGAGCAGGAGAAGTCTTAATATCCAAGCTGAAAACAATATACGCAGCCTTGCTTTTAGGCACTTGATTTAGAAGATTAATTACTGGTGAATGTGGTAGTGGTAAGGCCAGATATCTAGTCTCTAGTGAGAGCTACTGGCACTTTTTTCCTCAGGAATGCTAATGTTGTGTTTATCTTACAGGCTAAGAAGAAAAAGAATATCTCCCATGATGTCTTTGGTACAACTTATGGTCGAATCCACATGCAGAAGCAAGATCTTGGTAAACTGCAGACGAGAAAAATGAAAGGGTTAAAAAAGAGGCCAGCAGAGAAGTCAGTTGAAGAAGATGGTGGGATTAGTCCCAAGAAAACAAAATCAGCTTGATAGTCTGGAACAGCTCTGAAAACTTTTCATACCTTTAAATTTAGTGTATGTACTGTAACACATGGTGTCAGACATGGAAGATTCAGCTGCAACTAGCTTTAGTTTTATAAAAACAATTTTTTAATGACTTGTCATTTGAAAGTGAATATAGGGATATTGAGCTTTAAAGTGGAATGTGGTTATTAAAAGGAATACCGTGGTATAACTCGCTTAGCTTTCCAAAGCTGGGTATTTATTCTATTGGCGTTAGCAAACATGCTAGTCAAGCAGGTGACTCATTTCCCAAACAGCTTTATGGCTGTTTTGTTGGGAATCCTCGATCTGTCAACTCATCTTAAATTCTGTCCAGGACCAAAGTAGTGTATATGCATAACTTATGCAGCATGATTTCAGGGTTCATTTATTGTTTATGTATTTCAGTTTTTGCACAACTGCAATATTCAATAAACTATTAAACATTTTTTCTTAAGTGTAAACTCTGAAAATCTATGTGCCTGTGTCAGAAGCTAGACTGTTTTGCACCAAGCCCTGCTTCACAGTTGCAGAATCGGGAGCGATTAAGGTGTTTTTACTATGTTCATCACCATGGTAGCAAAGTACCTGATGTTTGCTTTGGGCATAAATGAAAGCTTTATGGTTTGAATTTCAATCTTTAATGCTTGATTTGTGCCCAGAATGGAAGGGGCAAAGGTAACTTAGTCTTTTTACTAAGATATCTAAGTATACCATGCTCCTTTTTACAGAAGGTGAAGAGACTATGAAAGGTACAAGCCTTTTCTTCTTACCTGAGATCTGCTTCCCTCCTAAGTTTATGTCCAAGAGTTGATGTGATTAAGTGAGTTAGCAAAGAGTCGGTTAAAGATTCAGCTAAAGGGGAAAACAGTTTCAGAGTTCGGTGTGTTGTTCTAAATTTTGGAACATACCAAAAAAAACAAGCTTTTTTCTTTCTTTTTGTCTCTTTGAAAGCTATTACTCTATGCTTGCAGCATAATTATATGATGAAAGTGTATATCTTGAACACATTTTTTACATTTTTAATACTTCTTTTCTTGTTAGTTTTCTCAAAGTATATTCGATATGTGGGTGGCTTGTTGTTTTTACTTGTCTCCTGCATCCCAGATGGAAGCTGTTGGGCAGGTTTGCTCTCCTTATGTGGGCGCTGAGTCATAATTGTGGCTGTGTAAATGCCACGTGCGATGTTCTTGCTGTGCTGGTTTGATAAAATGAGCAGTGTGACAACCAAGGGGCTTCAAGGATTTAGGCTCTTTTTGAGGATACATAGTTAATGCAAACCCAATATGTTTGTCTGCTAATGTACTGCCTAAAAATATATTTATTTTGCATCATTATGTGAAATAAATTGCACTGCTGTCTCTAGTTCCTTTTCTTCAGTCTATAAGCATGTGCTTGAGAAACCGCTAATTGCATAAATTACTTGTTTGCATTTCCCACTATATCTTTCAAAAATACAAATTGCTACATTGCTACACTTCTGACTGAAAGCTACATTCTTCTAAAGCTAATAGCTTTAGAAGACATGCTGTATTTTAAGAGCTTCTGGTCAATAGTAGTCTTCCTAGTTTGGAAGCTAGTTTTGGTGCTTAATTTGATGTTTAAAAATTGATTGTCATGGAAAAAAATCTGAATCAACATCCTGTCATATCCTCACACAAAAAGTGGGAGTTATTTGGTAGTAATCTTCAGAGATAGGCTGTTGCTTCCTGGTTTTGATTTCATTCAGTGCTGCTGCAGGTTTACTCCTTGTAGGAAGAGAAAGCTCAGACAGGCGAAGGCTGCACTGGCTGACAACTGAGTCTCTTGCCCCTACGGATATTGCCCAGCTTAAGAGACATGGAGAACTCCTGAGCGCAGGAAATCACTCACCAGGGGACCCAGGTGCACTAACTCACCCTTTGCAGGGTTTTTTGTCTCTGCTGACCAGAAGTGGACCCCGAGGTGCCTGACGTCTCACACCTATGTCTAGTTTTTTGTGAATACTCTTTTATTCTTGTATATTATCCATCACATGACTGTGTTTTACCAATACAAAAAATATTAGTTACGTGAGGCAAGAGGAAACTCTCCTGGATATAGGGTTGTAGGGATATTTAGGCTATGCTTTTTCATACTAACCTCATGCAGGTTATGTTGTTACTAAAGATGAGAATTTGCTCTGTTTCTAATAAGTTATTTCTATTTATCAAAGCGGTGCCATTTTGGTGCAAACTGTAAGTGGGAAGTGGAAACGCTCGCTTTGTTCTCCTGGAAGGTATGAACTACTCTGATCCCTTGTGAGAAAATAGGATAGAGCCAGATTAGCAACTGAGCTCACCACCTTTCTTTCAGGGAACTTTCAACCTTGCTGTGAAGCCATGATTAAGCCACAAGACTGGTGGCTAATGCGATTTCAAATGTACAGCATGTACAACCGCACCTCTGCATCATAGCTGATTGCTACATTTCGAGTATCTGATTCAACTCAAGGTGAACAGAGATATCGGGGCTAAATATAACACCTTTCTAGTGGCATGCTCCTATTTCTCACAGTCTTTTAAAGTGTGAGGAAATTTGTCAGGTGCTGCAGCACAGCTGGGGAACAGAACCTGCTGCGCTCAAAGCGTGGCTGATGAAAGGGGCTCGAGTGGCCCGAAATGCCCCTTCCTTCCAGAGCTCACCAGGCCGCAGGGTCCATGCGGTGTGGCCAAGGCATGACTGGCACGTTCGCGCTTTTCCTTTTGACTTCCATCCTCTTGCCTCCCAGCACACTGGGGAGAGCTTTTGTTACAGGCTTGAGCCTAGGAAGGAGTTTGGTCCCAGGAAGAGGATCCCTGCAGGCAGGGTGTGACTCCTGAGGCTGTGTCTGTGCAGTAAAACGGCAGGGCCCCTGCCCTTGCAAAGCTGCAAAGCGGTAGTCAAACCTGCACTATCTGTAGTCTAGCTGCCACGACGGCAATGGCAGGGGGGATATGATTTCTGCCCTCTAGGGACCCTCAATTTGTATGCTTATATTGCCAACTTGTGCTGCTGGCATCTTTATTGCTACTGTTAACTAGGATACCCTAATTAAAGGTAACGGAATTAATGATATATACAGAATTTATAGTTTACCTACGCTGTGAATTTACTCGACTCTTACTGTGCGGTACAATTTAAAAAACATAGGAAGAGAGACAGGTAGCTATTGTAGAGTGACGCTGTATGTCAGGTTCTTGGGATTCCCATGCTTTTGGGAATCGGTCCTGGGCAAGGATAATCCCAGCCTTAGCTCTGTGGTAACCTAAAACAACAGTGAGCCATGGCGAGGCATGAGCCATGTGTTCGAGAGCGTAAACTCCTTCTATTTCCTGCATTTTGTGGGTCTGAGTTTATCTTTACTGTTCCTTAGCAACCTTATTTGTTTTCACTAAGTGCTTTCTATGTCTGACTGTGATGGGCTTCCCTCCTCCACTAGCCTGGTTGCAGCCAGGGAGGGTTAGAAAAAAGCTTGAAGGGAGGAAAGTTTAACATAACAGACAGTTATAGCATTGACTGCTGCATCCTCCAGGCAGGAAAAAAACTGAGAGGGCCATGGTGTATTCCAGATGTTATCGAATGTGGGTAGGATAAGGAAACTAGAGCAGAGCGGTATTACAGAGGCATTTTAAACATTAAAGAGAAGGAAGTAGAAAATGTTAGCTATGCATAATACATGTTAACATGTGTATTACATGTAGAATGTGGTGCAGATAGTTCTCCTATCGCCAGTGCAATTTATCTCCTCCTCCTTTTGGACATTGCTAAACTACCTCTACCAATGCTGACATATCCCAGATGCAATCGAAAGACATAGCTGAGAAATAGGTCAGTTGTACCAGAAGTCAGGTTTCTTAAAAATAAACAAGTTAGGGGAGACACACGGCTCCAGAATACAAAGCCTTTAGAAGATTGCCTTCCTAAATGGTTCAGTATTTCAAGGTGACCGATAGGGCTAATGCAGTACAGGAAGAAGACCCTTGCTGGCATGCATTTATGCAGAAGATGAGGAGGAGAAGTTGGCAAAGACACCTTGGGAGGAGTTAGGGTTGCTGGGAGACCTACCTAGGGTTGGGAATTGGTTGTTTCAGAGATTATGGTAAGTGGCAGACCTTAGTGCTGTGTGGGCAAAGAAGATGGAGGCTGGGGGAGGGGAAATTTATAGCTAGTTTTGGATTAAGTCCTTATCCTAAACAACATGGGAACCATCTACTTTAGGACTTTCTAGATCAGCATAGGTCCACTGTGCTCGCTGATAGCTCTGAGTCGTCTGTTCTTTGCTCATTCCTATTTTCTTTGACTTTCAATCATATTCTGTCAACTTCATTTTTTTTCAGCTTCTCTGAGATAAACGCAAAATAACTCATAGCAAGTAGAGGCAAAGTTTTGAGCAGGGGTTAATGGGAAGCAGGTAGAGTTAATGACTTTCTCCCACGTTCTCAGTATGCTCTCAGTATGTTTCACCCTTGATAATACCATAATCCTTCCTGTGATATAACACCCGTAAAATCTAGGTTTCTATTCCTTTCATGACACTAAAATATGCTTATATGGGCCCTAAATGTCTCCTGTTTTGATTACTACAATTTCATCCTCTTGACTTCCTTTACCCCCGCATCCCTGAAACGAAACACAGGTTCTGTGACCCATTTCTTACAGTTTATCCCCACCATCTCTTGGTGCTGACAAGAAGCAGTTTCTTGTCCTTTATTGGCCTTGATGATGTTGATACTCATTCCTTCTTTCTCCTCTGCCAGGGAACATGCGTTTGGCTTTCGCTGTCTTTCAGAGGTATCTTCTGTATCGTGCACTGACCACGGCCCGCGAAATTCCCCATTCAGCGGATTGCTCTAAGAGTCAAGGTGCTTAACGAGAGCCACGGAAGAGAAACTGAAACAAGAAATCGAGAGTCAGGTTCAGGTCAGCAGTCAAACCCCTAAGCCAGAGGTCAGGAACCACAATCGGAAGACAGGACAGGATTGCAAGCTGTCCTGTCAGCCCCAGTATTATGCATGTGCTCAGGCAGGAAAACCTGCAGGAAAGGCCTACACAGCCCCATTTTACCTAAATGGGAGGAGGCAAGCAAGAACGTTGACCCATTAGCCCCAGTGAAAGGGACATCAGGCTAGCGCTCAGCACCTGCAGAACCGGCTGCTCAACTGATTATCTCCTTCTGGGGGATTACACAGGTTTGCCTTGGGCGATGTTCCCTCAAGTCAGTACATAGTAGCTGGATTTTTCACATACGTGAGGATATAACACAAAGTGAGATGAATTTTAAAATCTGTCTTTATCTCCCTCTTTCCTGATGTTAATACAGACGCCATGGAAAAGGAGGCCATGGACAACCCTGTGCCCAGCACGCGTGCAGTGGAAAGGGCCTGCGCTTAGGACTGAGGCCCGTAGGATCAATTCTAAGGCTACTTGGGGTGCTGACATTATTTCACCTTCCTTTTTTTTTTTTCCCCCCTGATCTCCTGCATACATTAAACCATTAATTGCCACTCTTGGGCTTTAGGCAGGAGACTTACTGACAGTGCTTTATACTGCTGAATTATTGCTGCAGGTGTGACTATCTACATTAGGCCTAGATGGGCACACTGGGACTCGACACCAGCTGTTACTGAAGATAGTTTGGAAGCTTCTTCCCTCCCCTCCCCTCCTGTTTTTCAGGTAGAATGACTTATTCCTTGCACTAAGTATCTGTTTTCCTAACTTAAAAAAGTCTATGAGTACTTATGTCTTTTCAGTTTTAATTGCAAGTTGCTAATATTTTTCTCCAGTTGAAATTGAGTTCTTATATACAAAAGTTCCTCTCTTCTCCAGGGGAAAATGAGGAAGGGGGCACACAAATGAGGTGAAAGAAAAGATTCAGGCAAAACGTCTTTTTTATTTTTCATGCTCTTGCAGAAACTATTTTCAGTGCAACAAAGAAATGTAAGGTATTTAGCAGCGTGAATTCACACCAAACTGCTGAACATCTCCTTGAGAAGAGTTGAGCACTCTTGATTGTTATGAACAGGTAGATGTTCGGCGTGGTTCACTGCAGAGAGAGGGGCGCTCACATCTGCTGTATCAGAAACTTTATATTGGGATGTTTTGCTGAAAAAGTGCAATGTAGTAAGAACTTGCATTCATCTCCCATCGCAACCGTTTAATTTTTTTTTAATTGAAGGTATTATTGTAAAGAATTCATGAGGCCCTCCACAGCACTCACTCATGCAGCATGCCAATAAACAGTAATGAGCTTTTAATTCGTAAGAGGTGATAGATTTCAGCTCCTGTTAGCTTACTTTGCACACAGTAATACAGTAATAATTCTCTACTCATCAGGTTTATTTGCATGAAATATTAGACAGGCTTTT